TACATAATATGCAGATCCTGGTATTTACAAAGAGTTACAAAACAAGCAAATCGTATCTGAAATTAAGGAGAGAAACTGAATTTTTTGAATCATTTAATAATTTCAGCATAAATCTTCTGTCACAACTTAAAGTGGAAAGAGTAACATTTTACTCAAGTAAGGGTAGGATTACTTCAAACTATATTATTCAAGAAGAAGTAAAAATATAGAGTCTGAAATTACTCTAAAAAGTACAAGGGTTACTCAAATAAATGTCACTGAATACTACCCACCTGTGTTCAAATATTAGCAAAGCCTGGCCCAGGTTCATTCATGTCAGTGTGTCTAAACTAAATTAAATGTCTGATTAAGAACCACTGGTTAATACTTGTCAGGAATCAAGTCCTATATTATACAAAATTTACTCTTTAAGCCATGTTAAAATGCTGTTAACTCTGGAGTTGTGTTTAAGTAACCTTTTATTATGAGTCGGTCCACATTTCCAAACCTCAAAATGCTCTGTTCCACCTTGTGATGGCATGCAGTGGTAGTTTTAACAGCTACCTTTTATTTAGAGGGCTGACATCAGTCGAATGATTCTAGTGAAGGTGTATGGAGAATTTCCTGTATTACCACATGACATCACAAGGTGCAACAACGTGCTTTCTGTTTGAACGAAGAACTCAGCCTAAATATACAGTATTTGTGAATTAAACATGTGTGAATGAAACAAAACACAACATCAGGTATGTTCGTGATGAGGAAACGTTATATAACATTATAACAGATGAGAACATAGTGTTATATGGGTCTTTTAATACAAGATTGTTAAACCATGCATTTAGATGTGTAGTGTGTATACTGTATCAGAACTGCCTTGCATTCATATTGTAGCAACCTGCAATCATGTAAATATAAAAACCTTCTCCCTGTCTTTGTAACTGTTGTTATAAATACACTGTTATTTTATGTTTTATGTTAAGTTCATGGTCCTGCATGGTTAGATAAAAGTTGAGAGGGGGCTGGGCTGGTGATGCTATGTGTAAAAATAAGGGGAATGTTCTGGCATGTGAGCGCGGTCCAAGTTTGAGCAGGTCCTACTGTTAACTTGAGTGTTAACCATGTATTGGCATGGTTACGGACGACAGTAACCAATTCAGTTCTCGCAATAAAGTGACATCTCGTGAACTATTCTCGTCCATTCATTACCCACAGAAAGATGCTACAATTTTTTCTGTTAAAATGTCAGACAGTGATATTTACTATTTAAGGCAAGAGTGAAAAAAAATCAACATGGGGTATAATTAGTTAGTAATGAGTTGCCTTATTATAAAACCATTACAAATTGAAAACCACTAATGGCGTAAAAACCATCTGTCATTTTACACCATCTGATCCAAAGATTTGCTTCTGTTTTGTGCATCTGTTTTGACTCCTGCTTAGTAATATCCTGCACAATGTCCTGTAGCCCCTGGTCCATCAGGCAGTCAGAGCAGGCCAGAAGAGAGAGAGAGAGATTTATGCTTTAATATCCTACTCAAAGTTCACATTTTAAACACGTCCAGAAGACCTAGCAAATAGGCTTATGAACTGACAAAAGAATACAAGAATCACATTTCAGAAGAGGTTTGTACAGTTTTAACTACAGGGTTAGCGGCTTTTGCTGTTTTTGGAGGAAATTATGTCACTTCTAAAAATCGTTGCAATTTGCTAATCTTGAACATTGAAATTGCAATTTTTGATTCAGTTTCCTCTAATCTTGCAGCCCTAAAGGGTATGGCTGTGGAAGATTTGCTCACTGATTGATAGTTGTAATAACTTTTTTTTTTTTTTTTTTTATTAGATGCCTATATTTACTATGGGCAACAGTTGCTCACTCAGTACAATGATTGTCCTATAACTGGAAAGGTAGCAGTTTAATTTCAACTCCAAGCACGTTATACTGTTGTTGTGTCCTTGGGCGAGACACTTCACCCACCTAAGTAGGAATGGAATATTAACTAGTGATGATAGTCAGAGAGTAAGTCAACATAAGGGCAGCTGTGGTAATTACCATTACCCAGTGTGGGGAATGAATAAAGCAATATCAAAAGTCTTTGAGTGACCAAAAAGGGCTATATAAATCAGATATATTTTTAGTCAAACTAAGAAAGATTTTCATGTTATGGACTAAACTATCAAAAATAACTAAGACTTTAAACATTAACTTGTGGCTGTTGTTGAAGTTGTTGCTATGTGCTCTGCTCTGGATATTGACTATCTGTCCTAACTGAAGCGTTTTTGAGTTTTTGCTTTGCTTGTATTGTGCATGTCTCTTGTCTGTTAACATTATTGCTTTTAAACCACCGCTTATCTTTCTCATTTTTGTTACAGTTAACCCTCCAAAGCACGAAGACCAGAGTGGCCTTTTTTGAGGAACTTTGAGTGACGTGTGCAGCCTCCAGGAACACAGTGCCTCTACATTCCTGACTGCACGACAGACGACAAAACCACTACAAAACATATCAGACATAAAACACCATCACTACTGGCGCACGCTGAACTATTGAGCACTAAATCTGGGAGTCTTAACATGAGTGTGTGTTTACAGTCTATGCATATCTTGTGGTGGCCTTGAAATGAACTGCAAAGAATGATACAGGATAATGTATAGTTTTATAACTAGTTAACACTGTGGTGGCCTATATTGTGAATTATAGATTTTAATGTTCGTATTAAGATTGACAGAGGTGTTGAGATGGTGTTAACTAAAAGTACTAATGTTTTATTTTTGTTATGGAATTGTGTACTTTATATTGGGTTTTTACTTTGTAGATGTATTGGATCAAGAACAAACTAATTTGATATGGTGTTTACTGTATGTTCGTGATGGAGGGATTGCGCAGTGGACAGCACGCCAAACATATTCTCTAAAAACAAGCATTTCTTTAAATATTTTGAGAAATAAGGCTCTGTTTTTTGTGTAAAGTAGAATATAATGTAATTTGAATCCATCTCTGGGCACTTAATCTCGCTCAACAGTCATTGGACTTGTGCCTTGTTTTACACTGTATCATGGTGTTGCACATTTTTTTTCCCGTGCATTTGAGCAAACTTGTTCAGATATATTGTATAAGTTGCTCTTGATATCAAAATAAGTCCACTGCATGATATCTGCATCTGATTAGAATGCATTTAGTATTTGATAATCAGGAAGTGCACGCTCGGAATGCCTAAGGTAAGTGAGGAATAACTCTGGACTTTAGGTAGTGTCTTTAAACCTTAATGATGCTCCCTATTAATGATACCACAACTTTTTTGTAATGACTTTATAGTCTCTTAACTGTTACACTGCTATACTGAGTCTCTGTTCTGAACTTATCAAGTATATTTTCTTCCTTTTATATTGCTATCTTTTATCACTTCAGTAGAACACTTAAATTAAATTGAATGTTTAAACAGAGGGGCCTTTATGCCATATTACATTTAAATAGCAATTTGTCACCTATAATGAGGGTTGATGGGCTGTGGTGAACTTAATAATTACATTTTGTGGATAGCCTTTTTTCATTGCATTGCAGTGGTTAAAAGTTTGAAAACACTAGGCAATAGCAGTTTACAGCTCGCATGTGCATATTCTGTTATGATTGAAATACGCCTTAAGTCTGAGGATGCCATGTTCTGCCCTCAAACGTGAAAGCAGATTATAAACCAGGGGTAGAAAGTGTGATTCTCTAGTGACACTGTGAAGTCTGTCTTCACAGGATGTTTTTGTGAAGAGAACCACTTTTATCCAAAACATGAATTTGCATCTATTTTGAATTAATTTGCTCCCTCTCCCTTTGAAAGTGCTTTATTTTTGTGATACAAAAAAAAAAAGTTTTTAGAATTTATACATTTATTATGAAAAGTAAACCAGTATTTAAAATGGTAAAAGTACAGTACATTATCGTGAATGTATGTTTTTCAGGAACTTTGTATGTTTTATATGTGTAATAAATGGTTCTCTGACTAGACATATTACTGACACATGTTGTCTTGCTGTAAAACTTTGCCAGGAGTGGAATGTATTCTACCACGTGTATTGATACTTTGTAATGAGATCATGCTGGGGGGTTCCTATGTGTATCTCTAATGGTGCAAGGTTTGGGAGTTACCAGAATGCACACATTAAAATAAAGCTCAGATTAGAGTAACAGAGTAGTGCTTTAATTGAGCTTCACACCGACTGGGAATGTTGATGACATCAGCTGCAAAGTTTAAAAACAGTACAATACTACGACTCATTCACTTGAGTTTACAAAATATTTTGGGGAAATTTATATCTGTATCTGTTTCAAGTAATTTAAAAACCTGACATAATTAAAGTCTGGGGTCTCCAACCTTTTTCCTCTGGTGAGCTACCTTTACAAAACGAACATGCCGGAGAGCTACACATTTAGAAAAATTTAAAGACATTTAGAGAAACCGAGTAAATATAAGAGCCTTAGATGAGGTACAGTTGCCTATAAAACATTTACACTGTGATATTTATTAGTGTACAAAAATAGGCATCAGAATGATACATTTACAGTGTTAACAGGCATTTAATCAAATAACATTTTTGTTATTCAACGCAATACATATGATTCAGAAATCCCTTGACGAGTTACTTGAAGCTCCCAAGCTACAGGTTGGAGACCCCTGATCAAAGTCATAAATATAGCAGTAAATGGTGTGAGTAACAGAAATACATTGATTAATTGAAAGGAGGCAGAATATTTTTGCAGTTTCTCCACTTAATTAAATTATGAGTTAAAGAAATTATGTGTGAAATTGAATTTCTTTTAAGGTCCTGTATCATGTAACAATCTTGACTCTTGTGAGCTTTAAGCCATGCATGTTAGAATGTTGATACCTTGTCAAAAACATACCTGGAGTTGTGTTTTCTTTCATTCATGCATGTTTGAGTAATGTTTTAGTATTAGTCTGTCCACATCTCCAAAGCTCAAAATGTTCTGTTCCAACTTATGGTGTCATGTCATGCTTTTACAGTTACTTTTTACCTTTAGTTCAGTCAGTTACAGGCCTGAAATCAAACTATTCTAGAGAAGTTGTATGGAGTTTTAAAACACAGTGGAGTACTTCCTGTATTACCACATGACTAAATATACAGGGTTTGTATCTTAAATGTTTGTAAATAATACAAAACATAGGCTAATTTCACCCCAAATTTTTATAAACATGCATAGATGAAAATACATAAGCCTATATACAGTGAAAATTAACAAAAACTGATAATACAACCAACTACTCCAACTACAATGCATGAATTAAACCTTTTTCTCTTCATTTTAACCATATAATGACTTTATTTGCAGAATGTGGTTACCTCTTCCTCCTCACACTTGCCTGGTGTAGTTGACAGTGTTTCCAGATGAGTTGTGTCCGGTTTAACCCTTCACAGACCAGCACGTTTGGACTGACAGCTCGGAGGGTCCCTGACGCCATGGGCCCCTCCTGCTCCTCTGACAGCTCTAGAGCAAAGGGACAAGAAAACACCCCTGAGGCTCACCCCAGTCTGACAGACAGTGCCAAGAAGCCAGCTCCTTCACAGATCCACAAGGACAAAGGCATAGAGACTTTACACACTCATTATTTCATATCATAGAAGAGATAAAGGAACAGCACTTTGTTAGTTAGGTCATTTGCACATTTTCAAAGGTCCTATAGATGGATTATTATTAATTATATTATATAATATTATATAAAAAAAGGCTCAAACTGCAGTAGCCGGACATCATTCAGTGATACCTTATCGATGCAACTACCCCCCAATGAGAGTCTAAAATCTGCTGAAATCCTACAAGACATGACATGATACAAGACAGGACAGTGGCTCTTTCTGTTGGAGACATGCATAGTAGAGCACGAAATTACATAGTCTAATGATCCCTCTGTATTACACAAAATTTACTCTTGAGAGCTTTAAGCCATGTTACAATAGTGTAACCTCATCAAAAACATACCTGGAGTTGTGTTTTGTTTCATTCACACATGTCTAAGAAACTGTATATTATTAGTGTGTTTACATTTCCAAAGCATAAAATGCTCGGTTCCACCTTGTGAGTTCAAGTTGTCAAAGTCAAAGAGTTTTCTAGTGAATGTTTTACTTTCAGCTCAGTAGAGACTGGCAATTCTTGGGCTGAAATTATCCAAGTGATTCTAGTGGAGGTGTATGGAGTTTAAAACACAGAGGACACTTCCTATATTACCACATGACATCACAAGGTGGAACAGAGTGTTTTCAGAGCCAAAATGTAACACCACCAGGCTAAATTGCTTGACAGATGTGTGGAGTGATGACCACACTCATGGTAAGAATGTCTGTTTATTTCATAGAAATAAAACACTTTTAATTTAGTTTAATAAAAGTTTGATGAGTATTTTTTGCTATACTGTGAATATTCCAGACAAAGCAATAAAATGTATTTCAAACCAGAGAAAGTTACATAGTGATCCGTGATCCATGATGGGTTTTGCTGAAATTATTCCTTGCCAAAAACACACCTGGATAGGTTTTCTTTTCATTTGCAGGTCTGCATGCACTGGTTATAAGTAAAGCTTATTTGCAGGACAAACTTTCTGCCTCTTTGTTCAATTCAATTAAGCAAATACCCTGACTTTCCCAATTTCTCGGCCAAAAATAATAATTTCACCCCAATTTTCTTTCAAAGGCTTGTACTTTTTCTTATAATTAAATCCACCGTTTTCTATAATATAATATGGATTCTTTGAATTTTGTGTCTTATTTAGTTCAGCACAATCCAGCCCAACATTATTTTTCAATGTGCTGTATTTTAAAATGTAAAATACTTGTTATTGTCATATTAAAGTGTTTGTGTACCCAGTACCCTAATCAGCAACTAGCAGTCTCCCTGTCCGCTCCTGTCTCTTTTTCTTTTTTTCCTCTACCTTTTCCACTCTCCCCTTCTCTCTTTCTCTTTCATATGTATTTTCGCTCTCTCTCTCGCTCTCTTTCACTCTAAACCTCTCTCCCCCTCTCCCTCTCTCTGCCTCTCTCTCATGTGTCCAGCGAGCCCACCCATTGTGTGTTATCTGGCCCAGTTGGGAAGGAGCACATCCTTTCCGAGAGCTTATCGTCATTTTCCATGAATCTCCTCCAGAGTCTTATCTCCCACTGCTCATCTGCCCGAACCTGTGCCCAAACGTCCCCAATTAAGCTCCTGTTTGTGCTGTTTACCTGAGGACTACAGACACTTGCATCAGATTACATTTACAACTGCTATGGCTCTGTTCAAATCAATTTAACCCTGCTTGATAACATTTTTACTTATTTTCCTGTTTTTTTTCCCCCTACACATTCAGAAAACCTGCTAGCACTAGGTAAATGTTTATCTTATATGATTGCTTCCACATGAAACAGATAAAGATGGAGCATGTTGGATGTGCTGTGCATTGGGTATAGAACTGAAAATACATATCAGGGTTTGCACATTTTGTCCTTTGCTATGCTTCAGTTGGAAATGCTGTGAATCAAATGCATCTATATACAGTAATAGAATATCATGTTTGCAGGCTGAGTGATTGGAGAGGTAGCCCTCAAGCCCAACAATTGAGGGTTCAGTCCCAGCTCTGACCATTGCAACCTGTTGTTTTGTCCTTGGGCAAGATACGTCACCCATCTTTGTTTTGTTTGAATGCATTGTGTGTTTCATAGGTCAGAGGCAATAGATGAAGGACAGTTGGAAAAGGGTTTAAAGTCAACAGATCAGATCTTTTAACCATGTTACAGTTGTTTCCCTTCTTATTTACCATTCTTGTTGTATTTAGAGTGATTTGTGCATGTTTGAGCAATCTTTAAGTTGAGTTAACACGATTAACTGAGATTCAGGAGGACCACGCCTCAAACACCCTCTCCTCCTCATCAGCAAACCACAACTCACTTTGACCACACCTCTAATTTCCCAGAAGCCTATTTGTAGCAACCTTTCCCATTATCCCAGTTTGTTTCAGCTACTGCTCTTAAGCGTCCAACCCCATCAAAAAACAACTGCGCCTCCTGAAATCAAGAGCGATCTATACACGAATCCACTCGGGTGTCCCAGCACGACTTCAGTAAACTACGAAGCCGCACCACCCACAGAGCACGCAAACACGTACGGGGCAGACAGCGACCGCGCAGCGAAAAACACCCGCAGCCACATTCATCACTCCATGCGGACGAGGAATGGAACAGAGGAACGAACTGAAAAAGCGAGTGCAATGTGCCACTTCTAGCCACAACTGAACAACTGAGTCACTGTGAGCACGCCAACAATCCAGTGGTCCCAGACAGCACCCTCCCTACATGCTACAATTGAACAAAGCCGAGAGTCACCGTGAACGCGACAGACAAAGTCCCACTGACCCATCCAACTGTTGTTTTTTCGTTTAAAGTCCAGTGCAGTTTATTTGGGAAAAAATTTCAAAAATAGACCATTTAATGACAGTGTGCCTTATAATCCAGAGCGCCTAATAGTGCTGAAAATACGGTAACTTGACCCCACCCTCCTAGCCCCTATCTTGTTTTTCTTTCAGCCATAAGAAGGCTACTAGGGGGGTCCCGTTTCGGCTGGGCCAATTGCAGACTGAGATGGAGCCACTCAGAGTCTCAACCCAGCCATCTCTGCCCCTCGTACATTATCAATAAACTTCTTATTCGCTCTGTGTCATTGTTGGCGTGGTCCTTGCTAATGAATCACTTATTTTCAAGGCAAACAACCCCCGTTTTCTCCACCACCGACATACGCTCACTGCTCTGTATTTACTTCGTTCTCCAAATTAATTTTCTTAATTGGTGATATGCATAGGATTCAGCAGCATTGTGTTGTCAAAAAAAAAAAAAAAAATCCACTACTCCCTAACGTGACCTGCAGCTTTCATCAGAGGTGCTGACTTTTTGTTGTGTTGACATTTGCGGCAACGTCAGCTCCCATTGGGCACCGCCGTTTTCTAACAAGGAAGTCAGCGAACTTGTTTCTTTTATTAAGTCGTTTATATGAATATAGCAAATTAAAATGTGCTAATTATAACATAATGATCCATGGGTGTCACTATGCAGCAGGCTCAAGCTCAATATGTTCTTCTTTTAGACTTTGTTATTGTTATCCAAGTAAACTTACTGTGCAGTTTTGGCTTGCTTGACTTTGACAACTAAACTAGCAAAGAAGGTTAATATATTCCCTCCGTACATCCTTCACTTTAAAGCTTTAGTCTTGCACCTTTTGTTTTTATTGATAGTACTTCATCCTCCCACGTTTACTGGCGATGTGAACACTTGGAGCCTTTGCCTTGTCACCTCACTTCTGTCAGCGTGCCTTAAATTAGTCTGCTCTTTCATTGCGAGACGGGGATGAGTCGTATACGAAATACCTGTGTAAAATCGCTCCGTGATTGGCTCCATTATGCAGCCTGGAGTTAGCAAGCATGGAAATGACGGGGGTATTTTTGGAGCTATGGCAAACCGCTGTATTTTTTAATGTATTTTTTAAAAGAATATGAGGTGCTTGTTCTTGATGGGATTATGTGAATATGAATTTTGATAATGACCCCAGATAACGTGCATATTTTAATTGTTCTGCCTCTGTGTTTAAAATTATGGATTCGTCTATTGCATTATCATGTAAATTTATGCATAGATGCCATATAATATCCACTTACTCATCTGTACCATTATTTTCCATTTTGGTGCATAGAGAGGCCTATATATAGGTTCAAGGGTTTATACATCTCTTCAAAAACTATGGAATGTATTATTGTAGTATAGCTTTACAGTATTGCCAGTATTAAATATACTTTTACTCACGGCTGCTCTACTAACTATATGTTAATATTTGCAAAGTTCTGTGATCAATGTACATAAGAAACC